CCATCAATACAAAGCAATACAGAGTAATTGTCATTTGTTCTTTACTAACTATGCTGCTGCAGAATTGAGGCTTGGGTAGGTTAAGATTACAAAGTCAGTAGTAACCTGGCTGATATTTACAAGTCCCTTTGCTATGTTTAAATCAAGGGCCATTTTGTGAGGACAAAAAGACAGGTGTGGAAAGAAATGGAGTTTTCTTGCTCTATGTGGGCAGGACTGACGCTGATATAAATGAAGTGAGGAGATAGAGAAATTAATTCCAATAAATAATGGAGAGGGATAGGATTTCAATATTAGGTGGGAAATTTCAACTTTTTTCTGTATCAAAAGGGAGTTGTTCTAAGTTTCAAACCTCAGGTAGACAAGGCTTATTTGTTACCCAGAGCTGTGGTTTTTAATTCCTTATACATGAAATGAACCAAATATCTAAGAAAATATTACTCAGAAACATAAACAATTAAGAACTGACTGAGTTTGAAGAGCTCAGAGTCACTCCTTTTCCTTCTCATCCAGTGAACCAACTGCTATGATTTGAATGCCCCCCAGCTCTAAAATCATGTGTTGAAATTTGGTTGTGATGGAATTAAGGGGTAAAGATTTAATCCAATTATGGTATTAAAAGACTTGTGGGAGGTGGTTAGGATTAGATAAGGTCATCAGAAAGGAGCCTCTGTGATTGAATCCTGGTGGTTTACAAGTGGAAAGAGAATGGCACACAGACATGGCACATCTAACCATGTGGTGTCCTGTGCCCCCTCAAGAACCTGCAGAGAGTCTCCAGCAGCAAGAAGACCCTCAGCAGGTATGTCTCCTTGACCTTGGACTTCCAAATTCATGAGCTGAGCAAACCTTTATTCTTTATAAATTACTTAGTGTGGTATTCAGTCATTAGGGTTAGAAAAAGGATAAACCATTATTCTTTTTTTATTTAATTTTAATTTTATTTATTCATTCATTTATTTTAATTTTATCAGAGAGTGATACAGAGAGAGAGAGAGAGAGTTAGCAAGCCACCAGGTCCAGGACTTGAACCATGCATGGTCATCCATGTGGGAGTGTCCAGCGCTTTAACCACCATGCCACCTGCTGGTCCCAACCACTATTCTTATACTGCAAATGAAGAACCTGAGGCTCATAAATGCCAACAGCATACCCAAACCACAGTAATACAAGCAAACTGGAATCAAACCTACTTCTCATTCCTGACTGCGTAGTCAGAGCTCCTTATACTTCACAAGGGCTACTCCAAGAAAGACCTCTGTTACTGGACTAGAAGAGAGAGAGGATGAGATTAAATAACATGGGACGCTTCCAGTCTCCTGTTGCTATTCTGCACTTTGTGTAAGGTTTGGGAATGGTGTGGGTGATTACACAGCAGGACTGACCCCTAGCAGTCACAGAGGTATAATTCAAATATCATTGTAAAGTAATACTCTGCAAAATTCCTAAATGTGGAAGCCAGTCTTTCTTTATAAGTCCTCTGTAATAGGAAGCAGGTTTTCATTAAAACATTTCCTATTGGTTGCAGTAGTAATTCTTCTGAAACACCATGTAACCTATTCTTTGCTCCAATGGTGGAGCAGAGTAAACATTGCTGATTTTCTTCTAGGTTTTGTTGTCTGATTTTTTTTTTTCAACAGTGGATTTTTTTCCTTTTTTTTAATTTCATTTTCTTTCATACATTCAATCACATTATTATTTGTCTTACAAAATGGATATTTCTTTAAGGAATTGTGTCCTGTCTCAAGATGTCAATAGGTTCATGGACCTACCATTTGAACAGGATCCTAACTTGTTTCCTGGCTTTAAGTTTTAAGCAAAGTTCCTTAGGATTTCTTTGATTTAAGTTAAAACTGCTTTTCTTAAAATTGCCAGTTGACCTTGCTATTGAAAGTAGTTAGATTATTTAAGAAATTATGTGGGGGGAGCAATAAAATGTGTGCTGGGGGGAAAGAAATGGAAGACAACTGTAGACACCAAAGATAGTGTGAGAAGAGGATGGGAAAGGACAGAGGGTCAGAAATAGGGGTTTTATAATATGAAACTAGATATGGAAAATTTTTGATGATAACATGCATGATTAAGTCACTATGCAGTATATTCTGGATGGAAAATCACATTTTGTATGCCGGGATGATGCTTAGAGAATGAATGTAAACTAAGTTAAAAAAAAAGTTTCTTTCAGACAATAAAAACCTAAAACTGTTTTTCTTGAAATAAAAAAAAAACGCATTAAAATACCTATTTGATGACTGCAGTAAGCTATAGTCCCAGCTAGGTGCTACTTTATAGTATGTTTATTCTACTCACTGAGGCTTATGCCTAAAGTCAGACTTTTGTTCATGGATATGTATATATCAGCTGTGCTTGCTATTCAAAATATTTAGATTAATTAAGATCTTTTGTGAATCAATAACATGTAGAGGGGGGAAGGCATAGAAAACAACCATGGATATTAGAGACAGTGTAGGAGGGTGGGAGATGGCAGAGGGTGAGACATAGGTAATCAAGGATGGGGAAAAAAAGCAAAATATACAGGAAACAAGTAAAGGAAAATTATTTGTTGATGATAACACATATGTTGATGTGCTTGATTGAGCCAATATACAGTGTATTCTGGATGGAAACATCTCATTTTGTATGCTGTAATGATGTACAGTGAATGAATGTAAATAAACAAATTTAAATTAAAAAGGAAAAAATATTAAAAAATAAATAAAATAAATTTTTTTTATAAAAGAGACCTTTACTTATATAATGTTTTAAAAAAATTGAGCTGTAATATGAAAATGCCAGCACCACAGCATGATAGTTATCACTGATAGTTATATAATCCAGTGTGAACTGTTTAGAGAGGTTTGTTTGTTTGTTTGTTTTTTCTTTGCTATAGGGCGCGTGTGCTTGCCAGAAAGACAGAGACAGAGAGACAGAAAGAGAGAAATCACCCTCCAGAGGAGGATGGCCATGCCACAATCCCTTCTCCTCCATTCTCCTCTCGGCACACGCGCCCGGCATAAGTTTAGGCTGCAGGATCCGGGACACGAACCATGGTCAAATACATGGGAGTCCATCAACATAGCTGTTACACTAACTGCTGGTCTCTGAGTGCAAACTGTTAAATTCCTAGGACATCAGTTTCTTTCTTTGCAATGAGACCTCATGTGGTATCATGAGGTTTATATAAGGTAATGCACCTAGCATATCTGCAATAGCACCCCAAGATATAGTCAACCTAAAAGTTAATGAATTAGGTGTTGTCATTGTTATTATTTTTTATGTTTTTATTTTTAAGATATTTTCCTATACACATGATATAGTGCAGTATGGGCATATGAAAGTGATAAGGAAAGGTAAAGAGAGAGAGAAAGCACTCTCCAGGCTCTAGTCAAGGCCCAATCCCATTTTTCCAGTCCTTCATCCTCTCAGAGCCCAGACTATTGAATGCATGCCCAGTGTGTTTTTATAAAGAGAAAGAGAGAATGTACCCCTAACATGGTCTTATTGCCATGATCTACCTCCAACCTCAGCCAGCCCTAGACCATGGGGACATATGTGTCCAGTATAATCAGGGAGGCCTCCAGATGTAAATCTGGGACCTTTCCATGTGGGTAAGCCACTTTGCTACCATCTGTCTCCTTGTTGTGATCAAAATTACAGCAAGGGATTCTATGATCTATTTATGAGACAGAGGATACTGTAACAATGACTGGGATTGATTCCATTGAATCTTTATATCATGCATCTGAACCTTTGCTACACCATCATCATTTGCAATCTTCATCACTGAATGATATTAGTCAAGGACTATATAATGACTAGTGTCAGTAGATGTTGATCACTTAGAAAAAAAGCATGAAATTACAAGAGAATGACCATATTATTTGAAAATAGAGCTCAGAAGGAATAATCCATTTAAAATGATAGTTTGTAAGATAATATAGGATAATAACTATAATATATTTAGCATATCCATGGGTAAATAATGAACTCCCAGTATAATCACAAGAGAAGCAATATTTATGTTTGGGAGCATTGATTCTGAACTCAGAAAATACAGTGCACTTTCTGGCTTCACCACTCACTATCCATGCCAACTTGATTACATTTCCCAAACTCCATAGTGAGTTTTTTTTGTTTGTTTGTTATGTTTTTGTTTTTCCTATGTAACATATTGTTACTTGTAGAGTTATTCCAGTGCCTGGAATGACTAGGTGCTCCAAAAAGTTGGCTCTTAAAAATAACAATTATAGAGGCGAGTAGGTGGCATGGTGATTAAAGCACTGCTCCAACATGACTGACAGTAGATTGAATCCTAGACCTACTGGCTCACTTTCTCACTATCTCTCTCTCTCTTTCTCGCTCTCTCTGTCACTCTGGTGAATACATGTACCCTGTAGCAAAATTAACAGTAATAATGATAGTAATAATAATTAAATAATTATTTTAAAATTAATTATAAATGAAAGAGAAGGATAAAAAGAAGTATTTTCATATAAAAGAATTACTTATAAAGAGAGAAGAGACATGAGGTGAACTTAGATTAATGAAATATGTGAATTTTAAACTTTATTTAGTACATTCTTTCTTTTTCTTTTACTTTTTTTTTTAGAGAGATTTTTGCTTTAGGATATGTGTGCTTGCCAGAGACAGAAAGCAAGAAATCACCCCCTAAGGGGAAATGGCCATGCTGCAATCCCTTCTCCTCCATTTTCTCAGGATTTGGGGCACACATGCACACAAACACAGTGTCAGTTTTAAGCCATCGGGTCAAGGAATCAAACCGTGGTAGAATATGTGGGAGTCCAGGGACATAACCATTATGCCATCTGCTGGTTCCTATTTAGTAGATTCTTAAAGTTAAGTATTTAGAGGGTGAGTAAATATATAATTATGAACAACAAGCTCCCCAAGATCCTGGAAATACAAGAGGCCTAATAATCACTAAGTATAACTACATATTTATTTTTTACGTTTCCCAACTTTCAACTGGAACTCATGTCAATACCTGATAAATGGAAAACAAAAACAATGTGACAGAATTCATCCTTTTGGGTATTACAGAGAACCCAGAGCTGAGGAAAATATTTTCTGCTGTGTTTCTAATCATGTATGTTGCTACTCTTTTGGGACACTTACTCATTATAGTAACCTTAATTGCAAGTCAGAATCTACAATCACCTATGTACTTTTTTCTTATATTCTTGTCTTTTTTGGATGTCACCTACTCTCCTGTCATTGCCCCCAAGGTGATTATGGACTCCCTCTCTGAGAGCACGACCATCTCCCTGGAAGGCTGCATGACCCAGCTCTTTGCAGAGCATTTCTTTGGTGATGCAGGCATCATCCTGCTCATCGTGATGGCCTATGACCGTTATGTGGCCATCTGTAAGCCCCTGCACTACACAGTCATCATGAGCCCTCGGGTGTGCTGCCTGATGGTGGGAGGGGCTTGGGTGGGGGGATCCCTGCATGCCACAGTACAGCTTCTCTTCATGTACCAAATACCTTTCTGTGGCCCCAATGTCATTGATCACTTTATATGTGATTTGTTTCCATTGTTGAAACTTGCCTGCATAGACACCCACACCCTGGGTCTCTTAGTCATCCTCAACAGTGGGGTGATGTGTATGGCTATCTTCTTTATCCTAATTGTTTCATATATAGTTCTCTTTTGTTCCCTGAAATCTTACAGTTCTGAAGGGCAGCACAAAGCCCTCTCCACCTGTGGCTCCCACCTCACGGTGGTCCTATTGTTTTTTGTGCCATGTATTTTCTTGTATGTGAGACCTGTGGCTACCTACCCCATAGACAAAGCTATAACTGTGTTTGATACAATGGTTCCACCCATGTTAAATCCCTTGATATACACTTTGAGGAATGCAGAGGTGAAAAATGCCATGAAAAAACTATGGCTGAAACAAAAGATTGTGGTTGGTAGGTAATAGTCTTGCCTATAATATGATGTATTTTCCATCCGGAGTTGTTCTTTCAGAAATGTGTTAGAAATGATAAAGTCCATTCTCCACTGGCAGTCAGTGGGACCTTCAAAAAGATTAGTCTGCTTTATGATCTGAGTATTTATAATGTGAAGATTATGATACTTTCACACTGTTACCCTTCCTTGGTTTCTCATTCTCTTAGAAACTTTTGACTTGTCTTAGAATTTCCCTTTTCACCTTGCCAATGCTTCCAGTTCTCCCAAGACTTTTTAAAAATATAATTATTTAATTGTATTGATTATTATCATTTTTTAATTTGCTGTAGGGCACATGTGCTCAATAATTATTTAATTATATTGATTATTATTATTTTTAAATTTCCTATAGGGCACATGTGATCACAAGAGAGAGAAAACAGAAGCCACTAAGTTTTGGATTTGTGCTATAGTCAGTCAAGAAGTCCACTTTCTTAACCACCATATCATCTGCTGGCCATGCCAAACACGTATTGAGTCCCTCATCTTCACATGCATCAGTCCCATTGTTTGTTTTTCCATTTGCCCCAGAGCAATGAAAGTCTTTTCTTATTTCAATGTTGGTTCATCTCCCTCTCTGAAAATGAGTCCTCTTCTTCCTCATATGGCTGTTCCTCTGATTCTCTCTCTCTTTTGGTAGAAGTTTTTGCCTTAGGGCATGTGTGCTCACCAGGGAGAGAGAGAGTCAGAGAAAGAGAGAAAGACTGAGAAGCAAAGTGAGAAATCACCACCCCCCAAGGGGGATGGCCATGCTGCAATTCCTTCTCCTCCCAGGATCTTGGGCCCGCACATAGGCCCCACACATATAGGCATCCAGTGGCATGATTTTCAAGCCAATGTGTCTGCTACTGAAACTGGTTTGCAGTGTGGAAGTCTATCAACGTAACCTCTATGCCATCTGCTGACCTCCTTCTGTTTCTCTTTAACTTTTGGTCCTAAATCTTAACCCATGACCAGATTAAGTGTAATTTCCTGAGAAGCATTCCCCCATTACTCTATTCAAAATTCTTCCACTACTGCAATTATTATCTATCTCCAACATTTTCATTTTCTTCATAACAATGATCAAAAGTATAATTATTTCTGTATAATTATGAATTGACTTACCTTATTTTCTATCTACTTCTCAAGACTGAATATTCTATAAGTAAGAAAAGTACATTAGTTTATCACTTCTATAAGTAGTAATTAATTTTTAAAATTATGTATTTATTCTTTATGATCAATCACTGTGTATCATTACACCATACCAAATGAATTTTCCCATTCTGACTGCATATTGGTGCAGTCAAAGATATTGCCATATAAATTATAATAAATAGATTTCTTTCCATTTTGGTTCCCATAAATGTTTTGCTTCTTTCTTCTTTTCCATAATTCCCTCCCTATCACACTCTCCCATTTCTCACCCTCCTCCCACACTGCCTCCAGTATCACCGTTGCTCTCCATGCTTTTGTAAGTTGCAGTTACTCAGTTTCTGCCATCCAGTGCTGATATTTGGTATATATTGCTTGGGGACATAAAATGCCTCTCCTCTCTTTCATAGGCTGGCTTGCTACTGTTAGCAGTAAAACTTCCATATTTGTCTACTTTCTATCAAATGCAAGGACTCATTTGTTAATGGCAGAGTAGTATTCCATAGTGTATATGTTGTACCCTCTTTCAATCCATTCAACAGTTTATAGACATTTGGGTTGATTTCATGTCTTAGCAATTGTGAAAAATGCTACAATAAACATGGATGTCCAAGTGTTTTTCTGGCTGAGCATTTTCCTGTCACTTGGGTAGATACCTAGAAATGGAATTGCTGAGTAATACAGTAGTTCTATTTATATGTTTTTGAGGAACCTTTATATTGTTCTCTTCAGTGACTGTAATAATTTACATTCCCACCAACAGTGTAAGAGAGTTGTCTTTACACTACAGCCTTGCCAACATTTATCTTACTTTCATTTCTTAATTTTAGCCATTCTGACTGGGGATAAGTGGTACCTCATCTGGTTTTGATTTGAAAAGCTTCTGCACACAAAAGAGACAAAAATTAAAATAAATCAGTAACCCTTAAAGTGGGGGAGCATATTTGCAAATTGTGACTCAGATAAGGGACTGATAACTAGGATATACAGGGAACGCAATCAGAATACCTGAAAATAAATTCTCAACCCAATTAAAAATGGGTAAATGAACTGAACAGATAACACTCTAAGGAAGACATACAATTGGCCAGAAAGCATACAAAAAAAGAAATGCTCAACATCTCTTTTTTGTTTTTATTTTATTTTATTTTTAAAATTTTTCTATTTCATTTTCTTTTATATATTCAATCACATTCTTTGGTTTTCAAAATGAATATCTCAATTGGTGAACATTTCTCCCTAGTACAGTTGATAAAAAACTATAAATTATAATAAGGGAGATACAAATCAAAACCACAATGTGTAACTATTAAAACACACACACACACACACACAAATCTGTTTTCTTAAAAGAAAACATAATGTTTAAAACACATGGCCATAAGAGTCACTGCACTTCCCTGACATAAATCTCGAGAAAAATGTATGTATGAAATACTTATTTTCAATATTAGACAACATATAACTGAGGTTTCTTAGAGAAGGGAAACAACTTAGATGAACACCGGATAGCTACAGAATTCTGCTGGTGTTGAGTTTTGTAATATGTTGCAGGTAGGGAGGACAAGCATATCATCATAATTCTCTCAGAGATCAGAGGTCATGCAGGTGAAGAGGCTTCAATCTGTGAAACAGAAAGCTATAAAGGAAGGGCTATGTAGACAAAGAAAAAAAGTCAGTTTTCAGAGTGTCTTGTGTAACCTGAATCAGTTACTGTATTCTTAGAAGACTAAGCTGAGCGTGTGTGGGTGAAACTCCTCAATAGAGACTAAAGAATAAGACTCAAAGGGCCAGCATGTGATGTAGTACTTATGTCACTTGACTCCCACATAGCTGGCCACCATTCAATTGCCAGACCAGTGGCTTGAAACTCACAGCAGGCATGTGTGCATGCATGTCCAAGACCCCAGGAGAGAAATGGAGGAGAATAGATTAAGGAGAGCCGCTCCCTCCAGGGGATGATTTGTCACTTTCTCTGTGTCTCTCTCTCCAGCATAAAAATGCAACCTAAGGCAATCACCTCTCAAAAGAATGAAAATAATAAAACTCAAAATATGTGTATTTTAGCAGTGACTTCAAAAAGTTAATAGAAAAATAGAGTTAAAGATCAAGTTATGTTGCAAAGAAAATTTTAAATTCATGCATATTTTATATAATTTGCCTTTTCTGAAAACTTTTTTTTTTTTGAAGAGGTTTTTGCTACAGGGCGTGTGTGCTCGCCAGACAGACAGAGAGAGACATAGAGGCAGAAAGAGAGAAATCACCCCCTAGAGGGGATGGCCACGCCACAATCCTCCATTCTCCTCTCAGTATCTTGTGCACACACACACATGTGCCCAGCGTGAGTTTTAAGCCACTGGGTCTGGGACACAAACCGCAGTTGAATACATGGGAGTCCAGCAACATAGCCATTACACTAACTGCTGGTCCCATCATGTTCTGAGAACTTTTTGAAAAACTCTTACATATTTTTTATTCACCCTACACATTCTTTGTGATTTGAGTTCTTTGCTTTTCAAAATGACTAAGGGGTGGAGTAACAAAATCCCACCATCTAGTAACTGAACAGAGAGACAGTTCAGTTGTGGCAAGAGATGAGAAACTAGAGTCCAGAGACATAACCTCTGCACCATCTATTGGCTCCAGGAGTGATAGGTATTTAAGTGTGTATCTTTCTCACTCCAAACTGATTTTGAATTCTTACAACTTAGCTCATGAAGTTCCATTATGAATTTTTTTCAACTTTTCTCAATAAACATGATGCTTTTAGAAGAGGTCATGGGTTATCTCCTATTGATTATTAATGCTTTTTAACAAGTATAAAGTTTCACCAAAAGTCTAAACTTTTCTAGCTCATTTACACTCGATGGGTTATTTGTATTGTGCCAGAAAAAGTATAAGACAGTGCCAATATAAATACTAAGAGTGACTAACACTATTGAGCACTTATAATATCCTAATCATTTTGTAAGCACTGTATAAATACTAACACATTGAATCTAAACTAAAAATCTGTAGGTTTGCTAGCACTACTTTCCTGCTAATAAATTAGCCACTTGAGATACATGAATATTAATTAACTGGCTCAAGATAAATCACCTGCCCAGTTCCTAGGGACAAGAGATGTACATTTAATGGAAGAGTTATAGAAATTAATTGAATTCAACTCAGTGTGATGCACATAGTGATAAAGGAACTTACAGGTACTAAGGGAGTATAGATAAAAAGCCCTTGACCCAGTCACTTGAATAAATGAAAAACTTCCTGAAAGTGATGGCACAGGATGTTAAATTTAAAAGCATGAGCAAGGTGCTTCTATTTGCCAAATTATAAGGCTTTCCATTTCCTGTATGAACAAGGACAGAGGATGAAGTAGTATTATGAGCACTGCTAAAGATTGAGTAAAATAGGGAACCAGCAGTTAGCGTAATGGCTATGTCGCTGGACTCCCACGTAGTCGATCGCGGTTCGTGTCCTGGACCCGGTGGCTTAAAACTCACGCCGGGCGCGTGTGCGTGCGTGCCCAAGATCCCGAGAGGAGAATGGAGGAGAAGGGATTGCGGCGTGACCATCCCCCCTGGGGGGTGATTTCTCTCTTTCTGTCTTATGTCTTTGTCTGTCTGGCGAGCGCACGCGCCCTACAGTGAAAATCTCTCCAAAAAAAAAAAAAGATTGAGTAAAATAAATAATGCAACACTTAGGGAAACACCTGGCACATAATAAGCATACTCAGTAGATGTATTACATTGTGGACACAGTCATAAGCCTCTGAATATCTACTTGACCTCATTCTTTTCCATTGAGACTCGGGTCAGTTCTTGTAACTCACTT